TGTGCTTGTAGCACATGAGCCTTAGAACCCAAATTCAAACTTTGAGTTTAACATGTAATTGATGGATGTTTATCAATCTATGATATGTTTGTGTTCAATTAGATTTATTAATGTTTCTATTCATGGTTTGGAATTTGGATGCATGAGATTGTATGTTACATGTGTTTTCCCTAGGCAATTCATGTGGATGTATTATGCATATGTTCTTCGTTGATTAGATATTGAGAGCTTGCTACTAGGTAGAGATGATCATCCCCTGTTGCTAAATGCTCACCTAATTGACGCTTACTGGGTAAGAGCATTGACTTACTTGACTTGTTTGTGGATGGGTAGGACTCATTTAAAGGAGGCAGAGCTTACCTCTAGTCAAGAAAGTCAACTGATGGGCCGATGGACGTGGCCAATGGGGGGATTGGAAGAAATGACCATTACAATGACCCCCATATTGGTAACTTTCACACCACAATACCCATATGTGTATCTGTCATATGATTGCATGTTATGCTTGATAGTTAGGGTGAGGGCGGTGACTCATCTCAAAGATTACAATAAATTCCCACCTAAGGCCCAAGTATTAACCTTAGATGGGTGCAATATAGGGCAAGTATATTTAAATATCAACCCGGGCCATCTGTGTACCCCCTACTTCCATTGTTTGAATTATTTATCTAGCGAATTGGTTTTTGGTTGAAAACAATGAGATTTAAATCAAAACAAAGCAAAGGTAAATGGTTTGGAAGCTCTAGATGAGAAGGATCACTCGGGTGTCGCTTCCCCCTAACTACTGCCATGGCACGTGGAATCGAATTAATCGTCATGGGCAAGGTCATCGCGAACCGCTAGGAAATGCAACTATGGTCGTAGACCACACTCTCTATTGCCAAACCAAGGGATACATTATAGGCTACTCAAGTAGCCCTCTTGGTTAAGGCAATCGAGGGTTGACTTACTCTCTCTCTCTCAACACAATGGTTGGATGGCTTAATCGCGCTTAACCAAATTATTTAATTCAAGATAGAGGTTTGCCCTAAATTAACCTAGATAGATGTCTTAAAAGCCCAAGAAATCCCAACTCAATTGAGCCTCCTTTAAAAGGGGGTTTTCCCTCTAAACTAGGTTAGAATGGCCAATTGGATTGCTAAGCACAAACATGCACCATCATCATGAAAAATACCTTTATCATTAAATTAAACAACACTAATAGAAAATCATTCAATTCTCACAACAACTACATGGCAAATAGTTCGGGTTTCACAACACCTAAGTGAAAAAAGAGTACTACTCCATGCTAGAAAGGGGAAGAACACAAGAGAAAGAGGTAGAAACCATCATGGTGATGCCTCCAATCTCCTCTAAGCTTGTGTTGATCTTCTCTTGGGGAGATTCTTCCCAATTTACCACTTGGAGCAAACCCTAGCCTTCCTTCTTCCTTGGTTTGTCCTTTCACTCTCTAAAATCGGAAGAAGAAGACACTTTCTCACTCTTGGGATCCCCCCCTCTTCCTTTCAGCTCACATTTTATACTAGGATCGGGCGCAGTTCACGGCCGTGAACTCTTCAACGCGTCAGTGAACACAGTGCGTTGTGTCAAAACGCATTGCTTCACCATCAGAAGTTCACGGTTTTCCCTCAATGTTCACAGTCTTGTTGACCGTGAACTCACCTTGCGCGAGTAACTGCAAATTTCTCCCTGGAATCCTCTCGGTTCACGGTTTTGGGCTTCAGTTCACGGCCATAGGAGACCGTGAACTCCAATGATAACCCGTGAACCTCGCCTGAATCACCCTCTTTGCCCGGTCTTTGCCTCTTTTCATCAAACTTTCGACTCCGGGGTTGGTTTCACCTGTTGGATCCTGAAACACACTAAAACGCACAAAACCTAGCGTAAAACCACCCTTTTAGGAATTCAAATGCTACAAACGCCCAAGGGAAATGGGGATAAAATGTGTGCAATTAGGCATGAATCAGGAGGCATGTCCCAAGTATCGTTTCTTTCTCCTAGTTTCGTCTTTCCTAGTGTCAAACAAACAATCTAGAGAATTGATTAGACAACAACCGACCTCACAAGAGTAAGGTAGGCTACCAGAACTCATGGAATATGACCTCGAGGTCACCACTTAATTACTGCTTTGCCAATTTCGGGTACACTAATCTTTAGTTGGGGTAGATAGAGTATGTAATTTAATGGAAACATATGCAGAATCATACGTTCATTACACGTTTATAGTTGAAGAGCACATGTCTGCAAAAGAAATAGTAAATGCATTATGCAATAGTAGAGTGGTATAAAGTGTTATTATCCCTTTCCAAAATTTAAATCCATACCACATCCAGTCATTCTACTTGACCCGTAATGCAGCGAGTATTGCCCAATCCGTAGTAGCATATGGGTGGGGCATGAGTTACTATTTCCGACATGCTCCGTCATGCCACACCCCATTATTGACCTGGACTAACTCAAATTTATTCAACATCTATTTGTATTTCTTCTATTTCAATCTTTGTTTCACTCAATAAAACTTTAAATAGGTGCAAAACTTGATCTTTCATTTATTTAGACTTAATTACCCATTCTACTAACATTATTTTTCATTCATGAAGTCTTGCTTTGTTTTACCATAAACATATTTTTTTACTTTTATTTTCTTCGAATAATGTGAGAATAGATCAGCCCACCTCGATCATACCCGCACGAGTACCCTATCTGACCTGCCAGTTGGTGCGTGACGAGTATGGATATTTGAAAGGAATTTACTTAACATTTGTAATTCACTAGAATATCGTCTTGTCAGATTATCAAAAGTTGTTAGAAAATACATGGACTCATGTTGTAGATCGTCTAGATCTTGATGCAAAAAATGAGTGACGATCCATGACCGGAGGATGTTGCTAAGAGCACGCCCACAAAGGCTCTACAACCTTCCTCAACCAGGCTTCCTTAATTCCTCTACGAGATTGTATCTGATCTTCCTAAAGGGGAGAACAAGAGAGCTATTTGATCTTGGTGTATTGGACCACAAACTTTAGAATTCCTTGTATGCTAATTCACCATGGGCTCAGGGCTCCTATAAAATCCAAAGTGAATAGGTAACCCATTTAGGTCCATATTGAGTTTGATTAGTCATGGACTTCATTAATTGATCACATAAACTAACCCATAAAAAGCAAAAAGCCAATACATGTGTTGAGAATTTGTAGTCCACTTACGTTAGGAAATAAAATTCCTAACCGTTTCAGATACTCAGCTCGCCGCACCCAATTGCCATCCGGCCCATCGCTACTTTCATGTAGGGCTGCAAATGACCAAGTTTCTCACGAGCGGCTTAACGCTCTAATCGAAAATAACTCGTTCGTAACTCTGCTCGTTTGTAAATGAGTCGAGCCTAAGCTCATCCATGTTCGGGTTATGAGGCTCGCGAGCTAGCTCACTTAGTGACTCGTTGAGCTCAACTAGTGAACTCACTCGTTTTGTGCTAATGAGTTGACTCGAAAGCATGTTATTGAGCCTGTTCGACTAGCGACTTCTTAACGAATCAATATATATAACTATGATGTTGCTTCTTAATAATTCATACATTGGTTAGATTATATATCTCATAATATATAATGGTTGAAGAATTTGAGTACGTGACCAAATTTGCCACATTTATAATTTGAAAGAGAAATTATGTATTAGAGAATGCTTAGTTACTAATTAGTATTAAATAACATGATATGAATTATTTAAAAATTACGAACTTAATTATATTACATAATATATAAACATAAGATCAATTAGTGATGAAAATTTAACTATTATTATTTTTTGGGCTAATTACACTAGAAAGCCCAAACTATTCAAAAAGTGTCATTTGTGTCTTAAACTATTCAATATAACATATCTGGCACGAACTATTTTTCCGTTAATGTTGATCGGCATAGACCGTTAGTATTTATCAGAAAATCTAATTAGCATCTATGTGGTTTGTGCAAGATTTGTCATATTGAATAAGTTTAGGACACAAATGTACGCAACGCATATAGTTCGTGCCAGATTTGTCATATTGAATAGTTTCTGACACAAATGACACTTTTAGGATAGTTTGGGCTTCCTAATGGAATTAGTTTTTTTTAATCAACCACATTTATCATAGAGTTAATATATTTGTATGACCTGAACTTTTCACATAATAAACATCATGACCAATCATTTTGATCTATAACATCATGGCCTGCACTATACACCAAAGTAACGAAATTGGCCAAACTCGAAAATTAACCGTTATCTTGGTCTTGGACGGTCGGTCAACGGGCCATGTCACCGCCAAGTCAGCACCTTTCACTTAAAATGTTTTATATTTTCCACCTATTACTATTTATTTTTTCATTTTGAATAAAAAAATTGAAAAATCAATTTTTTTAAAGTGAAAAATGAAATTCTCTTAAAAAATTCATTTCCATTTTTCACTTTTAAAAAATTTATATCTCAATTTTTTATTCAAAATAAAAATTAATAGTAATAGGTGGAAATATAAAAAAAAAAAAAATTAAGTGAAAGGTGCTGACTTGGCGGTGATGTGGCGTGTTGACCGTTAGTCCACACGTTTGACCATCGGTCAACACGTTTGACCATCCAAGATAACGGTCAATTTTCGGGTTTAGCAAATTTCGTTACTTTGGTGTATAGTTCAAGCCATGATATTATAGATCGAAAAGATTGACCATAATGTTTATTATGTGAAAACTTCAGCTCATACAAATATATTAACCCATATGACATTCAAATATTAGGGTATTCAAATTATAAATTATTTGAGAGTTTAACTTAAAGGTTCAAACATTTAAATTTATAAATGAGCTGAGCTAATTGATGAGTTGAGCAGAAGTAGAACTCATGACCTACTTAATGAGCTAAGCTCGAATTCAACTTATTTCTTAATAAACATTTGAAGTCAAGTTCAACCTCAGCAAAAGTTGGCTCATTTGTGGCGCTACTTACAAGCGTATTTCATATGGAAATATTAAGAATTCTAGTGGCTCTAGGTGTAATTTACCCGCCTACAACACACAAAAGAGACGGGGAATCATTATCCTGCATTCTTGCTGGACTACTACTCTACCAGTATCCAGTAGGAGCTCACCCGCCGCCGGCGAATTCCAAAGACGCCGTAAATCTGAAGTTCGCCAGAATTTCAAAACCCTGAATTTCCCTTTCTCCTGATGATACAAAGATGGACGCAAATTCTTTGCTCCTCCGAAACCTCTCCACTTCCCCACCATCTCCTCTGCTCTTCTTCAATTTCACTCTTCCTCTCCCCACTTCCCACTGCCACTTCAACTCCAACAAGTCTTTGAAGCAATTCAACCCGGCCACCGCCTCCGGTAACTCTGTGGCAGTCGTCAGAAGGTGTGTTGCTGGTAAAGAAGTGGAAATCATCTTGGAAGGCATGCCCAACGAGTACTACGACGATGTACGCCTAATTTACTCCCAATCTATTAGCTTTTTCCAAATTGTAATTCTGTCCCATAATCGGTGTATCGATTGGTAACCATATGTTAGGGTTTTTTCAGACCTTAATATGCTATTGAGATGGTCAAGCAAGAAACATTTCCACCATGGCCAACTCGTTTGGTTCTCTGATTTACTGTTTACTACTTACTCCTTCCTAGGAATGGCAAGCCCAACAGCGAGAAAAGGCTAAAGAGTTGGAGAGGCAGCGGCAACTGGAAGATGAAGAAGAAGAGAGGAAAATTGAGGAGTACCGGGAAATTGGGACTAGGCTCAAGGGTTATCCACAAGAAGATGTGAGTAAAGCTAAGAAGCTGATCTCCAGCTTCATCAGGGCAGCTGAAGAAGTGGAGGAGGTAAAGCTCCTTTCTCTTCCTGGCTTAATGATTAGAATTTGGTCAAATCGAACAACAAATAACTGACTAATGATTCAAAAGTGAGCCAATTCGATGTCTTATTGATCTCATATCGTTAGAAGCAGAAAAATGTTCATGTATGTGATTTACTTACTCCTTAGTTTCTAGTTCCAATCTATGTTTTCTTTTACACTGTCAAGAATATGCCCATTTGATTCAGACAATACTCCATGAGAAAGGGTCTTGCTTGGAACACTGCTAATCCACTGTCATTATCATGATCACAATATTGAAACCGTTGTCTTGTTGGATCAACATTCGTTATTTCCTATGCGCTACAAATGGCCAGGGTTGTGCAATCATCCAGCATTGTAGTCTGAATCCATCGCAAAAAATGGCCAGTATTCAGTTTTCAACTAGTTTACTTTTGTTCATGTAGAGAATCGAAGAAGCTGCTGAGAAAGGGGAACTTAACGAACTTGTTCTGATGGTCATTTGGAATCGCCTTGATCTTGCTCGACGTGATGTAAGTGGAATTCGCCTCTGCTCTGATAAAGTGATATTTCCCCCAGATTTACTCTAGAAGCTGCAAGATTCATAAATATTGGGCTTCTTATGCATTGTGAAGTGTTATAACCTAGATAGCCTTTACTAAATCATCCTCCTATATCAAGAAGGAAAGCAAAACATTATTGTCATTTCTGTGTGACGTGCACTGAACTAGTTAATAATCCCATCCAGGAGGAGAAGGATGTCATCCGGAGTCTTGATCTTTTATACAGGAGGGTTGAGGTATGAATTTGTTCTTACCAAAAGCGCCTAAGCTGAAGGGAATCTTCTCTGTTAGAAAGTCAGCATAATTTTGGCAGTTGTAGTTTCTGGTTTTTTGCGTCTTTCTTCCATTGTAATAGTTGGACTTCACATTGTATTTTTAGACAGAGATTTTGAAAAGGGAGGCTACTCCTGCGATGAGACTTCTCAATGATCTCTTGAACATGCATGATGGTTTCAACGACGAAGGCTGGCTGAAGGATTGTAAGAAACTCATGATTGCTACCTTCCCACGTGAGGATCCATTTAGCATTCTTGTTCCAACTGGGTTCGACATTGACAAGGTTCCTTCCTAATCTCTTTTGCAAGTTTTATTCGGCCTTAAATATTTAGGTTTAAGAGGTTATATACTGAGATGGCTAAGGCTTAATTAAAAGTTTCATGGTAGGCAGTGTCACTATTGATTTACCCTATCTGTGAACTGGTTTGTGATTAGTAAATTGCACCTTGTGTTTGAGAGGTTAGATACTGAGATGGCTAAGGCTTCCGAAATTTCCTTCTTTTTCCTGATCCAGCATGAGGGGCCAATTAGACCCCCTCCAGATGCTGAAGATGTTCTTCTAAGGGTAGATTTTGTGAGAGAGGTTGATGAACTGCTCCAAGAAGTGAGAGCAGAGCAGAACGAAGAAGCCGATGCACAAGGGCTTGATCCTGAATCCATAGCCAACAAGCTGAAACAGCATGAGAAGCAAAGGACGATACACAAGGTGGAAGCTCTTCTGGAGCTGGCTGTCAACTTGAAAGTGTAGCAGCGATATATGTTATCCCTTCTACCAAATAGCATGTGACTTATATTCCCAAGCCATTTTTGTAATCTCGTCTAGGACCAATAAAGAGAATTATACTATTCTATCAACTTTGACTTCTGTACCTAAAATTTTAATTTCATTTTGCCCCTTTTTTATGCCATTTTGAACTTCTCCATTGCATGAACACTCTAACGAACAAATTTGCCAGATTACAAGGTTGGAACGCATGTGAGGATGGTCTGGACTTAATTTGCAGGATACTAGTGGTACCTGGTCTTTAACTTAGAGGTGTCAGGTCGCACCTAACAATTAAAACAAACAAATATCACATTTACAAAAAAAAAAAAAAAGTTCTTGATCAAATTTGTAAAATATTAGGAATTTAGGTACCATAGATGGACAGGTCAAAATCTTTAGGTGCCAAATAGTAACTACTTAGTACGAAATTGTTTGTAAATATCTTGAAGGTTTGGGGTACTATACTAACATTGTCATTGTATAAATTTATACACATTTCTTTTACAATTTTTTAATACAAACTGACCATATATTTTAACATTTATCATATAATGTCTTTTATAGTTTAAATTGAACTTGTACTTTTAACTTATATATATGTTTATAGGCATTGTAATATCCTTCCTTGAATCTATATTATATGTCGAATGTTTTTAGTTTTATGCATTTATAATTTTATATAATTATCAGACGTCAAGAAAAGAAATTACAGAACCATTAAAAAGAGCAAATAACATAAAGCAATAATTATAATTGGCATAGATGATAATAAAGTAAAACAGGAAAATTGACAGAAATCAACACAATATATTTTTTAGAACTGATATATTTTATTTATTAACACAGGAAAAGATTAAAAAGATAAAACAAATGAAAGTGAGTTTGTTTTTATGTTTTGAGGCCCAATATGGAACTACTTAAAAGAAACTCCTTCGCGATCTTATTTGAATGAATGAAATTTTACCGAAGCTTGTGTGGCATTGTAATCTCAAACTCTTTTAATATTTATTAAAATAAGATTAAGATTAAGATTAAGATAATATTTAGATGTAAGACATTAACCCACCAAATATCGATGAATATGAGTTGGATTTAAGTGGGTTGGGATAACATGTGTATCTCAAAATCTATCGGGAAAAAGACGTACTTTGTGCTCTTTGTAGATCAAACAAAAGTGGATGTGTTTGTTTAAACGAGCTACGAGATTTTTAGCCAGAAAAGAAAGAATCTTTGCAGATGATTACTTCATTGAAGCTAAATAATATGCACAACATTTGTAGTTGCCTATATTTTTGGGCAAATATGACTTTCTAAGTTCACCCATTGATGCCTCATTCTACAAGGAACCCTGAACCCCATAATTACAATGGTTACACTCCAGAAACCAAATGAGAGAGAGAGAGAGTTTGCCCATACCAATACTCACAACTGCAAGCTTCAAACAAAGCACAGCTGTGAGATTTCATTTCATAGACAACTAATCATTGCATCTGCTCAGCAACATGCTCGCCATTACTCAAGAAAAACACTAGTTAAGGGAGCCATGTATCAACCACTCGGCGTCGTTCCATCCTTTCAGAAGAACAAGGTAATAGAAGACTAACCATTATGTGCCTCGCATTAAATGCCATAAACAAATCACCCTTCTTCATGTAGCTAGATTATGGATCAATCAGTTTCCTAGACCTATCTTCCTTCAACACCATAGCTACAAATTCGTTGGATGAATCATCCCACTTTGGAGGAGATTGATTATTTTCTTACCATTCAGTGTTTTCTACATCCAAAAAGTTCTCCTTTTGAAAAAAAGTAATTTCTTCTTTCTCTTAATGCACTTAAGAATTAGATGAACTGTATGGTTTGGATGCTAAACCCTGTTGACTGTGAACCAGTGGCAGAGCTGTTTGAAGGCTGGGGGTGCGTGCAACCCCCTTGGCTTATGAAAAAAAGCCCCCAATATATATAAGCAACTTGTGATTGGAACATGCGATGGTGCATTGGCAAATAGGCCACCTTGCCATCTCAGCTGAGCAACTTTCATGTTAAAAAGTCTTGTCCGGATTATTTTAATTATTATTTTCTAAGACCTACAACTAAAGAAAATTTGCGTCCCGCCACAATCCCTAGCATTTTGTTTATTCCCAATCGCTTCCGTTGATAGACAGCCATAGCGAGAAGCGAGAGACGAGAGCTCTCCAAAATGTTTATTTACTTATCAAGTTGACACTTATTCAACCTATTTTAATAGCAAGTGTAGAGATATCATTTTCATCCATAAAATATATCAAGAAAGATCTTCGAAAATGGATGAACGATGAGTAGTTGAACGATGCATTAGTGACATATATTGAACAAGATTTGTGTGCTAATTTGGAAAATGAATGAGTTTTACAATGCTTCACAATATGAAATCTTGTCGTTGTTCATTGTAAGTGCTATATGTATTACTATTATTATATAATTGTACGAATTTTGGATATTATGTTATTAACTTTTTTCGTTTAGAGTTGACCCGTTTAAAGTTGACTTTTCTGATATGGAAAAGACGCCCCCTTGGCCAATTTTCAGGCTCCGCCACTGGTGTGAACTCCAGTCGAGGGTTTTCCGGTGTAAGTATGAAGTGGCGCTTCTAAAAGATTGGCCACAAAGAGAATGAAAAGATAGTTCTTAATTTGTTTATCCTGCCTGCAATATGCCTTTAGTTTCTTCCTTATAAGTCAAAGCTGATAAACATTCTGCACATAAAAGAAACAAGTAAGGTGAAATTAGGTCCCCTTGTCTCATCCACTTTAGGATTTAATGATTTATGATCTATGCTCGTTAACTAGAGCTCAATATGACAATGTAGTGACACATTGCATCAATAGTTTCACCCACTACTCTAAAAAATTCAGTTTGAGAAAACTCTATTCACCTCCATCGTAGGCTTTAGAAATATCAAATTTTGCACCATGTATTCTTTGTAGCCTTTTTTCCTAGTTTTAATAGCACGAAAGCCCTCAAAAGCCACAATAATATTGTCATGTGTGAATCTTCCTGGTACAAATGAACTTTGCACTTTTCTAGGTCCGAAATCACAACTAGTCTTACAGTTGCCCAACTCTTTTGAAAGAATAGTTCTCAAATTGTATTTCTCCTCCTATGATATGTACGGAAGCGTTTAGTGTTGTAATCCCCTTCTTTAAGCCATTTAGCCATTGATTGTTGTTTCCACATCAATTCCTCTTGGAACAGTAATTCCTGGAGTTCCTTGTCCACTGTCACCTTTGCAATATCACTACCTTACTCTTCACTGTTTTGCTCAAAGTAACTAGTGTTGCCTCTACTTTTGTCTTCCTCATATCACCAAAATTTTCTTTAATCCAATTTTTCAGTTCTTCTTCACACCTTTTTAGTCTTTCCTCCATCGTTCCCATAGGATTCTCACTCCAAGCTTGCTCAATCACCTTACTACGTCATCATGCCTTTTCCAATAGGTCTCAAACCTAAATTGCCACCCCACCCCACCGCACTCTCTCATATTGTATTCTCATATGTAAATGAATTGAAAAATGATATGATATGCTTCTAGGTAGGTGGTAAACTCTGGCATCTGGAAACAACTTCTGTCAATCCGCATATGCTACCATTATGTCTCGTCTCTCTCCAAAATGCCCTCATCTATTCTTCCATTTTCCCAAGTAAATGGAGTTCTATAGAACTCTAAATCATCCGATGAGCACGCATCCAATGCTTCCCTAAATTATTCCATTTCGTCTACATCAAGCAGCCTAGCTCCATTTTTTTCTTCATATCCAAGGACCTGGTTAACAGTTACCAATTCGTATTTTGCTATAGTTGAACTTGATCCTGCTTTACGAAAGCCAATGTGGACATATCCACATGACAACCACGATGAGATAAGGCATGCATATTTGACAACCGGTCCTCACCGAGTTGAACTTTCTGATTTTCCTCAAACTCAATTTGGTAATATTTTTGCAGCTTTTAGTCTCGTGGTATGTAAAATTTCATTGGATTGAATATTCATAAACAAAGGATGTTGCTTATTGTCTTCCATGCTACCTCTTTGCAGAAAAGCCAACCACTAAATCTGATTGGGATGCATTTAAAAATGGAGGTTTTCAAAATTGGAAAAAAGTTAGTGGAGTGGCTTGTTCTTTTCGAAAGCATAGTGGGGATGAGCCGAATTCTCATCACAATAATGTCACGAGAAAGGGTGCTGCTTTGTTGCAATAGTCTGGCAACATCGACAAAGCAACGAAAATACAAACATCTGAAGAAGTGAAAAAGAATATAACCCATGTAAAAGCTTCAATAACTATTGCTCGTGTGTTGGCACTGCAATGAGTCGCTTTTAGAGGTCACGATGAGATTGAAGAGTCAAGTAATCGTGGTAACTTTATTGAGTTTCTCCAACTTCTAGCTAATCAAAATAAAGAAATAAGTCATGTGGCATTGGATAAGGCTCCACTTAATGGGAAGTACACATCTCATGAAATTTAGAATCAAATTTTCATGTTTTGGCTAAGAAGGTACAAAATCACATCTTTGAAGAAGTTGAAAATTCTAAATATTCTATCATTGTGGATGATGCAAGTGATGAAAGTAGTCATGAACAAATGGCGATTGTTCTTCACTTGGCTGATGCTAAAGGGTTGATACAAGAGCGCTTTTTATAGTGTTCATGTGGATAAAACAACATCAAAGACATTGTATTCTTCAATTCGCTCAACTCTTTCATTCTATAAGTTCACGATTCAAAATCTTCATTGACAAGGATATAACGATGCTAGTAATATGCGTGGTGAGTGGAATGGACAACAAGCTTTATTTCTGAAGTACTCTCCTCAAGAATATAATGTGCACTATACAGCTCATCATCTCAAATTATCGTTGGTTGTAGCTGCTAAAGACATATATTAGGTACGTGAATTTTTCAGAAACTTATCATTTATTGTAAATGCAGTTACTGGTTCTTGTCAAATCAGTTAAAAGGTGTAGAAGCAGCCAACATTGCGCTTCAGCTAGCGGAAGGTGAACTTGAGACGGGAAAAGGTGCTAACAAGGTTAGTACTTTACAACGACCTTGTGATACTCGTTGGAGGTCACATATGAGATCTATAATTAATCTTATCAAGTTGTATGGTTTAAATTGTAAATTTTTA